AAATATATTTATATATAATATAAATTATATGAATATAAATATGTACATGTAAATATTTTCTAAATATAGACTGTATGTGTGTCTTTATATATAATAAATATACACAGTACACACTAGGGCTGTGCAATATATCGAAATTATCAAAATATCACAAATGTACATATCGCAAAATGCATATCGCTACAGCTTGCAATATTTGGGGCCATGAACAAAAGACAAAGAGAAAATCACTCACTGCTCTTACCTAAATTTATTCACCACTTACGTGTGCGCAAACACAAGGAATTTGTTGTGGTTTTACAGGAGCTCTTGATACATACATACAAATAACCATATATATGAGACACAAGATAGTTATAGAAGTTCACAGAACTGACTCAGCAACAGCTGAGTAAAACTGTTTTATCTGAGCATGTGGCACTTTAAGCATTATCGTATCGCATATCGAATATCGCATTATTTAATGAGTTATCGCATATTTCTTCAATATAAAAAACTTTTATTTTGGATGCGATTAATCGTTGCCCAGCACTTATTATATATATATATATATAAAAATAATATATTAATTATAATTACAATGAACATACTTTCCAGAAGGCCAACAATTCACTAAAAATGTTTTTTTATGAAGTATTCTAATTTGTTGAGATAGTGAATTGGTGGGTTTTTGTTACATGTGAGCCAAAATCATCACAACTAAAACTAAAAGAACCAAAGACTTAAACTACTTCAGTCTGTGTGCATTGAATTTATTTAATACACGAGTTTCACAATTTGAGTTGAATTACTGAAATAAATGAACTTTTCCACAACATTCTAATTTATTGAGATGCAACTGTATATAATAAATAAAAACATCTCCCAGCTCTAAAGAGCAAGTTAAACTTCACTTTAAATTGTTTAAATTTCAGTGTGCTTAGCTGCTGCTGACGGCATAAACCCTGATTAGAAAGTCTGTGAGCTTTAGTTTTGAGTAGAATATTATTGAGCAAATTTACATACCCTATAGAGAACAACATAAAAAGATATTCTGAAAATGCTTGGGTCAGGAAAAAACACACACGTACCATCTACAGAGCCAAACTCTCTCTCATGGGCTCTGGTGAGGATCTCTTTATACAGAGTCTCTGCCTGCTTAAACTTCCCCTGCTTCAGATAGCATGAAGCCTGAGAAAAAGAACAAATGTGTCATTAATAACGATGGACTAACGTGAATATTTTTAATAGATAACAACAATCACATTTTCCAGATTTCACTTGAGTAAGTATATTTATTGATTTTATTATGCGCAGAAAAATGTTGATAGACACCATCTATACACTATAATAAATGCACCTAATTAATTAGAAATAAACCAGTGCTTGTGCTTGATTACAACTGGTGTTAATTTGATCAATAATGGTCCGATGACTATCAGTGGCTGATACATTAGCACATCTAATCATAACTGGCAGAAAGTCAAAACTTCAGTCTGCTGAAAGATGTCTGAGTCTGAGCAGACGTATTTACTCTAAAAGCTTCTTCCATTACACTAAAAGCTGAAAGATCCATATCTGATGTGTGAAATCTGCTGAGACGACAGAAATCCTGCAGCAAATAACACCACAGACCCCACACCATATGGATAAGTTAAACAAAAGCTGACCAGTCAAAAGATCATTTAAAAATGAACCTGTTGTATTGTAATGGGATATTTGATTGCCAAGTAAGACAATCTGTAGAAGGTTTTGTTTTCTCTAAACATACTCAGGAATGCATATATCCACAAATGGATGTCTGTTTGTTTAAATGAATGTAGAGTGTGAAGTGTGAGTGTGTTTGTACCAGGTTGTTTTTGGTCTTGGCCACATTGGGGTCATCAGGGCCCAGTTTGGTCTGGTAGATCTCCAGGGCCCTCTGGTAGTAGTACTCCACCTCTTCATACTTGCCTTGGTTCTGACACAGCAAGGCCAGATTATTCAGCTGCTTGGCAACATCAGGGTGGTCCTTCCCCAGCACCTGACACACCAAAACAAACACACCCCATGTTATCCACCTGCTTTAGACATCATCAGTCTAACACTGATTGAAGCAGTTTACACCCACCCACAGACAGGGGGTTACAGGTTATTCAGCTGGTTAGATCTATTAGCTGAAATAGCCAGTCTGAAGGGCCATTCACACAGAACAAATTTTTGCATTCCACTATGCTGCTTTTCTGTCGTTTTGCTATGCAAACATGCACTTGACAGATGTGTTTGACCACATCTTTTGCAATGTCTTGCACATGACACAGCATTAGAAAAAGTGCCATGTTTTAAAAACTGTGTGCAAGATGCAGCAAAAAAAAAAAAAAAAAAAAAGATTTTCAACCTTTTTTTCCATCTCACGTGTTTGCATTTCACTGTACTACTTTGCATTGTTGTTCTATGTAAATATGCACTAGATTTGACTGCTGCATCTTTTGCTGCACCTTGTGCATGATGACACAGCATTTTAAAAGTGAAATGCTCAAGGTAAAGCACTTGCATTTTTGCATTCCCCTGCGCTGCTTTTCTACAGTTTTTTTTTTATTAGATAGATGGATGTTTGATCATTGCATTTGTGTATCACGTCTTTTGCAATGTCTTGCACATGACATTGTTCTAAAATAGTGGTGCTTAAGTTAAAAGCAGTTCAAATTTTAAAAAACATCTTTTTTATTCCACTACCCTATGCCTCACTTTTTTCTTTTTTACGCAAAATGCATTCTGTATAAATGGCCCCTGACTCTAGAAAATACATGCAAATGAACTGAACACAGATAGAAGCAGCATTTATGATACTAGTGTTGTTAGATTTTAATAGTGATTTGAGATATATTTGAAATGAAATTACTCAAATTCATTCCTAAGCTCTATTTCTCTGTCTATAACAGACAGGCCATGGAGGGTGCTTTTACTGATAATTTGCAGTGAGCATCTCTTTATGTGTCTCCCTCTCTGTGGGTGTCCAGGCGCATGTGGAGAGAAATTGACAGTTCACAGGCAGGAGCTCTGTGATCGTATGCTTACTAGGGTTGTGATTGAATATTTTGTTGAAAGACAACTACTTCCACCAACACAATCACTATTCTTTATCTAAATCATCATCATCAGTTTCAGCAAGAATACACAAGCACTGAACAGTATTACAGTGATTCTACCATAGTGCCTAAAAGACTTTTAAAACAATATGGCATCAACTGTACAGGTGCATCTCAGAAAATTAGAATATCATGAAAAAGTTATTTTTTTCTTTTGTAACTTATTTCAAAAAGTGAAACTTTCATACATTCTAGATTCATTACAATTAAAACATTTCAAGTTTTTAATTTTTTTTTTGATGATTAGAGCTTACAGCTCATGAAAGTCAAAAATCCAGTATCTCAAAATATTAGAATATTTCCTAAGATCAATCAAAAAAAAGGATTTGCAAAACAGAAAAGTTAAAGTTCTTTAAAGTATGTTCATTTATGCACTCAATACTTGGTCGGGCTTCTTTAGCACAAATGACAGCATCAGTGATGTGTGGCATGGAAGTGATCAGCTTGTGGCACTGCTGAGGCACTATTGAGCCTTCAGCTCGTCTGTATTGTCAGATCGACTCCCAAGTTGAATCTCTCCCAAGTGTTTGAATCAGCTTTGCTTGACAGTATTCTCAAGATTGCGGTCATCCCTGTCACTTGTGCATCTTTTCCTACCCAATTTCTTCCTTCCAGTCAACTTTGCATTTAATATGTTTTGATACAGCACTCTGTGAACAGCCAGCCATTTCAGTAATGACCTTCTGTGACTTACCCTCTTTGTGGAGGGTGTCAATGATTGTCTTCTGGACCATTGCCAAGTCAGCAGTCTTCCCCACTATTGTGGTTTCAAAGAACAAGAGATACTCGGAATTTATACTGTAGGGATGGTCACTTAATGAAACTCAGATGTAAATATTCTAATATTTTGAGACACTGGATTTTTGACTTTCATGAACTGCAAGCTCTAATCATCAAAATTAAAACAAATTAGTTACAAAACAAAATGAACTTTTTCCACTATATTATTTTTTTTGAGATGCACCTGTATTGCAGAAGAAAAATTTTCAATATACTGCATAACATCTCATAAAACAAATTGCTCTGACTCTCAACTCTATTTGAAAGAATTGTTCCAAGTAGCTGTAAAATGTAAAACTCATATGTGACTATACATTTCAATGCAGAGTTGCTTCTTTTTTAAGTCTTAAAATGTGAAGTTCTTAGGTGATGCAAACACATATTCCAAATAAATATAGAGAGAAATAAAAAGAGAGAAAGTGCCCTCCATTTGTAAATAAAGCTGTTACCATATGATTATTTAATACACAATCTATCACATTTAAAGGTGACATATCATAAAAATCGGACTTTTCCAGGTTTTTAGTGCTATAATCAGGTCCCTGGTGCATCTACAAACCAAGGAAACGTGAAAAAGATTAATCCAGTAACTTTATTTTGCTAAAAGCCTTTTTCTGCAAGCGTCTGAGAAAACGAGCGCGCCTGATTCGCTCCCTTGGTGACGTGGCAAAGGGATCTCATTATAATATTACCGCCCCTTAATCTGTAAGTCTACACCTGACTTTTCCAGGTTTTAAGTGCTACAATCAGGTGAAAAACATTAACCCAGTAATTTTGTTTTGGGAAGCCTTTTTCTGCAAGCGTCTGAGAAACGCCTGATTCGCTCCCTTGGTGACGTGGCAAAGGGATCTCATTATAATATTACCGCCCCTTAATCTGTAAGTCTACACACACAGCACCATCATTTGATTTTGCAAGCGACAACGACGTACAGTTCTAATGCCATGGCGAAAGTTTGAGCAAAACATGCTAACTGTTCTGTCTTTGGCTGCACAGACGAGCACAGAACACTGTTTACAGTCCCAGCCTCAGAGGAGACAAGACAGCAGTGGATTTATTGATTTATTTAATGTATATTGCTGTTGCCACACATATCTAAAATAAACATGCCATTTATTTCCCAGCTGTTTACCTTCACAGACATAACTGACTGTTTTTGTAACTCGTGTGTTAACGTAAACTTGTGTGTGAATGAGAGCTTACTTTAGTACTCACATGCTGTGACAGCCACTTTCTGTCCGTGTGCTTCGCATGTGTGCACTCAGAAAACCGTATATCAGAAGTTTAAACCGCATGATTTCAGCACGATAAACATGATAATCAGAACCAAAACAGATGTTTTTAGCAGATACGAGCTGTAGTGGAGCAGCTCTATTCTGGAAAAGGGGGCGGGGAGCAGAAGCTCATTTGCATTTAAAGAGACAGGCCCGAAAAACAGTGTGTTTCTGCTTCCACTCAAAATAAGCATTTTCAAAATGATATAATAAATGATCTGTGGAGTATTTTGAGCTGAAACTTCACAGACACATTCTGGGGAAACCAGAGACTTATATTACATATTGTAAAAAGGGCCATAATATGTCTCCTTTAATATACCACTTATAATTCATATATTGTGATATATATACACACTATAATATGTACACTACCATCCACACGTTTGGGATCGGTAAGATATTTAAATGTTTTTGAAAGAAGCTGCATTTTTCAACGCTGCATTTAGTTGATTAAAAAATAAAAATTAAAGTATTAATTTCTTTAAAAACAAACATCTTACCGACTCCAAACTTTTTAACAGTAGTTTTTGTTAATACTGCCCAAGAAAGGACAGTGTGAAATGTCTGCAGAAGTTAAGTGATGAGAGTTTGGATTCAGCAGGTTGTCTAAGCTCTTTCTCTCAGCTCTGCATGTGTGAGACGCAGCACTCAAGAGTAACACTCTCAAGACTTCCAGTAAGAGCTTTATCACACAGGCTTAAAAGAAAACTCTCCATAAAGAGATCAAAATAAATCTGTGACACAGCGGGAGGGAGCAGGAATAGAGTGTCTAAGCACACCATCCTGAGTGTGCGGCTGCTGCAGGTTTGCAATTCAGCAATGTGCTATTTTTGGATAAGTGAAAAAAGTTGGACAGAGAACTATGGAAGGAGAAGACCACAATAAAACTCCAAGTAGCAGAAAATTGTCTTAACTAGTAAACTGAAATAGTAAGTCCTTCTCAACAGGTCCAAGGGAAAATATGAGTGTCCTATTTTGGAAAGATAGGTGTCAGTCTTCCTGAGCTCAACAAACACAACTTAAAAAGAGGCCTGTGTGTAATTTCAGGTCTTTTAAGTTCACAAAGTTGTAGCATTTTAAAAGTCACTGCAGAATAGCAATAACCCCTAAGAAAAGAAATAGGGTTCAGCTTCTACCACTTCACTGCTTAGATAAACATGTTTCAAGACTCTTTTCACATCTCTCCTAAGACTAAAATAAGTCACAGCTTCTGAAGATGGATGCCTTATTCTTTAGTCTTTGAATGAAAGGAATGAAAGGTAGAGAGAGAGAGAAAGGCAATGTACAGAACTCAGAATGCGAGTTCACAAAATCGACTGGGAATAAAGACTAAAGATATTAGAAAGTCATACGCATGATTCATCAGGTTGACCTCTGACCCACCTTCTCTCTGATCTCCAGCGCCCTTTTACACAGAGGCTCTGCTTCCTTGTACTTCCCTCGTTTGCCATAAAGAACGGCCAGGTTGTTCAATGTGGCAGCCACCTGAATACACAGGAAAACATAAATATATATGTACGTACATACACATATTTCAATCATACAGCTAAAAAAAAAAAAGTCAAATTTAAATAAAACAAGTAAAATAACAAATCAACAATTCTGAATTGGTGCAATCATTTATATACAATCAGTCACTTCATCTTACGGAAAATGATTACTTGCTGGAAATCTGATCAAGGTGAAATTTTCCCAGTGTGGGCTGTCTAACACGCATACACACATAAACACCCTGTGCTGTGCTACAGATGTGTTCTGATTAACCTTTGATTGAGATACCTCAGTGCATGGGAGACACATATGTGCATGACAGATGGCAAGAGTGAGAAAAATGAAAAGGGAAACAGCAGAGCTGAGCGATATAACTAAAACATATTTATATTTTTGGATTTGTATTTTTTGGCCTTTTGATGATATTGCATATGTATAATACTATATTTATGCATTTATTCGGAAATGGTGTTAAAAAGGCGGTTTCTTCAATCAGCAGAACCATCATTTCATAAAATAGCCATTCCAGACAAATACTAGATTCAGAATGTTTCATATAAGCACTAAAAAGTAAATCTAAAGTAAATAATCAAGGCATGTTTTCCCCCTACTGTTTTTTACTAAATAAATGCAATGAATAATGATATTTAATCATTTTCATTTACATTCACCAATGTAACTGTACACAGAAATAAACAGCAATCTCTACCAACTTCTATTTTAATAATTAAAAAATATCAAAACATTTTTGAGTAATGATGCAAACAAACAATAAAATTAAGTTTTTAATCGTTAATTTATACAAAAAAACGGAACTAAATTGAATGCACAGAAATTTATTAAACTGGCCAATTCTAACACTAAGTTTTAATCAGAAATAGTAAATATTAATGCAATAAAATATTGCGCTTAATACGTTTTCAATTTGTGAGAAAAGGAAGGATTGTGACACCTATTAAAATCATTATGAAATTCCCTGTCGCTCAATTTTATATCACCCAGAAAATAATCATAAATAAATGTTGTGAATAATCAATGTGTCATCCAGCTTTAGGAAATAGAGAATGAAACAGAGGACAGATCAGTAAGAGGTGTTAAAGTATCTAACCTCTGCTGAGAATTGTGGGATGCTGGTCCTGATGAGAGGGCAAGACATAAGCTTCACATGACAAACTCAATAAATGTCAGCAGCCTGTGCTGCTTAAAGTGCCCCTATTATGCCATTTTTAAGGTTGCTAATATTGTTATATGAATCTCCTAAAACAGGTTTACATGCATGCAAGGTCAAAAAACAAGTTAGTTTTCTCAAAAAATAGATTTAATTTTACCTAATTTCTAAATGATTCGTAAACGACTCGTGCGAAGCAGTTCAAAGAATCAGTCTCTCTAAACCCCTCCTTTCCGTGAGCCCTCACTGCTGTGATTGGTCAGATGGCGCAGTCCTTTGTGATTGGTCCAGAGCCGTAGAGAGATTGGCTCTGGATTGGTCTACCGCGTACAGCGCGCGTCGGAAACGAAACGCCCCATTGCCATGACGGAATGACAGCCCTGGAGACTTGTCAATACATAGAAAAGATGGTATCGATTGTACCTTACCAATTCGAGCCGGGGTCTGATGATGAAATGGTTGAACTCGCTGATCGACAAGAGACTGATTCGCAAGCACGACTGGAGCAGGACGTTTCTCAGTGGTAAGTGTCAAGTGTTAACAAGTTTGTGGTAATTATAAGATGTGATGAAACAAATTTACTCTCACAGCGTAGGATACAGCGTCTTCTCAACATGATGTTAACCACATGGAAATGTTACTGTTTGTGGGCGGCCAAGTTGGCGTCGTAAAACGTGGGTGGACACTATGCAAATGTGGTACTTCATGATGTAGAGCTGTAAAAGAATACGATTCGAATTCCTGACGACTCGTTTAGGCGATTGCGAGCCGACTCTTTTTTTTGAAAGACAATAACTTTATTTATCGTGCACTGTCGGGTTTACAACTTTGCAGATAGTTTATGTTCACATACAGCTACATGACACACTGCATGAAAGGTAATATTCGAAAAGGCATAATAGGGGCACTTTTATTCAATATACAACCAATATGCGCACACACACAGCAGACACAGGCTGTTTATATGGGTTTTCCTGTAATGTGGAGAGCATTAGAGCCAGACACACTGATGAGGGCAGGATGGGTTCTTACCGCAGGGTGGTCTCTGCCCAGGGTCTTCTCTCTGATGGCCAGTGCATCGTTAAGGAGGTTTGCTGCCTCTTTGTATTTATTCTGGTCCCTGAAGAACAGAAAACACTTCCAATCAATCTACTGCTACTCGTTGTGCAACAAAGGGCTGTTGCTAAGGTCTTCCTGAAAAAAAAGCTGTTTCCATGGCAACAGGGTGATGGCACAATAGACTAATGTCCCAAACGGCTTGCAAACCAGATATTACTATATACTGTATACCAGGTTTCACTTCACTTCACTTCAAGTGTATTTACTTGTCTCATTAGTGTTTAGAGCAGTTGTCGTTGCTGTGGAGAGCATTAGAGCCAGACACACTGATGAGGGCAGGATGGGTTCTTACCGCAGGGTGGTCTCTGCCCAGGGTCTTCTCTCTGATGGCCAGTGCATCGTTAAGGAGGTTTGCTGCCTCTTTGTATTTATTCTGGTCCCTGAAGAACAGAAAACACTTCCAATCAATCTACTGCTACTCGTTGTACAACAAAGGGCTGTTGCTAAGGTCTTCCTGAAAAAAAAAGCTGTTTCCATGGCAACAGGGTGATGGCACAATAGACTAATGTCCCAAACGGCTTGCAAACCAGATATTACTATATACTGTTTACCAGGTTTCACTTCACTTCACTTCAAGTGTATTTACTTGTCTCATTAGTGTTTAGAGCAGTTGTCGTTGCTTGGAAACACTTGTTTTGTTTACTGTGTGGAGACGTGCTGATATCGCGTTTGGTCTTGTTCTGTATGGTGTATCTTGTCAGTGTCTGCGCTTGCTTGGCCATTTGTTGTGGAGAAAATAAGGAAAGTGTGTCCAGCTGAATTCATTTAGTATTTTGTTAGACGGGTATAAAAAAAGCTTAGTTTACCGCAGAAGCCGTCGCGTGACGGCCTCCTCGTGTGCAGACCGAAGAGTGTAAAGACCATCGACTCTACCGTGCGACTCCACCGGGCAGGGACATAAGTATCGCTTTTTATTTCTCCTCTTTCCTATTACTTGTTTCACTTCCGTTTCAGTTTTTATAACCATTTCTTACTATGTGTAAGTTGTTGTTTTTTAGCATGTGTGTTTGGCAGTGTTATTTTTTAGGATTACTGTCATTTGATTTGTATTATTTGTATTTGTTATTTATTTTAATTTTAGTTACATTATATCTGAATTTATTATGTCTGTATAGGTCTTTTAATTACGTTTTTAGTTTTATTTAATTTGAGTTATTTTAATACTTCAACAAACTAAATGGAAATGAAATAATATATATATTGAATTTATAAATGTGTATGTACATATACAGTATATATGTATATGTGTGTGGTTGTACATACACATGTAGTTGTTTTTTGGTGTTTGGCTTAGTGTTATGTTAGAATCATTATTATACTCTTATACCTTTTGTTCTTTAATATTTTGAATTGTTTTTAGTTTTATTTTTTGTTTTTCATTTAAATGTTAAGTTTTGAAATTTTGTTGTATGCATTTGTCATTTTTTTCTAATCTCTTTATTTTTAAAATGTGTACAGGTAGTATTTATAAAGTTTTAGCTTTTAGTTTTGGATCTGTTTTTAGTTGTTTTAATACTACAATTGATTGCTTCTGTTGTCCTCATTTGTAAGTCGCTTTGGATAAATAAATTAAATAAATAAATACCATAGTTTAACAAAAGCTATGAAGGATGAGGTTCTCAGCCCATTTGTTTGAAGCACTTGTAGATACCATGTGGTTTAAGATATTAGAGGTGAACCAAGTGATTTTTCACAAAAAATAATGACTCTGCATATTAAGTTGTTATAGAAGAAAGTTTTATAACTTGGCTTGAAAAACAACACCACTTTTAAATTACACTTGCACTGCTGCTCAGAAGTTTGGGGTTAACATGATTTTCTTCAAATATTTTTAAAATAATCCAGTCTTCAGTGTCACGATCCTTCAGAAATCGTTCTAATAATGCTGACTTGATGTGCAAGAAACACGTCTTATTATAATCAGTGCTGAAAACAGTTGTGCTGCTTAATATTTTTGTGGAAACCATTATACATTTTTTTTCAGGATTATTTGATGAATAGAAATGTCAACGTTTTGTTTTTAGCATTTTAAATGTCTTTATTGTCACTTTTGATCAATTTAATGTGTCCTTGCTGAATAAAAGTATTAATTTTAAACTTAAAAAAAATAAAATCTTAACTGACCCCAAACTTTTGAATGGTAGTCCACATAAGTGAGCAGTACTATTATACAGTACAACTATACAGTAAAGTCAGCCGAGTGGACAGCAAACAAATATATATTAGAAAGCTGAAGTGTTTTGCAGACCTGTAGACGAGGGCAAGAATGTTGAGCATGGTGGCTACATCAGGATGATCGTGTCCAGATGTTTTCTCCAGATCTTCCAGAGCCTGTTTGCAGAGAGGAACGGCCACCTCATACCGGCCCTGCGAGGCGTACTGGATCACCAGATTGTGGAGGGTTCTGAGACGAGCGGGGATCTCGTACCCTCCCTGCTGCGCTGCAGCCGCTGCACTGCTGTGAGGAGGCTGAACTGGAGGGACAAGACAGAATGAGATATGGTAAAACAAAATGTATAAAACAGGGTAAAAATCTTAAAACTAAGTATCGACTAAAAGAATAAATAACAGACCCAAAACAAATGATGTTCGGCAGGAAGCAATATTATAATGCTTTCAAAAGGTGCATCATTTTGGTCTTTGTGCATTAGGAAATACCAGAATGAACTGTGACAAGCTCAGTAAAAAAAATGCTGAAAGATAATATATTTCATTCAACATGGTAAACTATTAATAGTTCTAATTCAAATATCTCATTGCAAACAAAATCTATATATTTTGTGCTCATTATAAAATTGTGTCGTTATCTTAGCAACATTTAGGTTTGGATATTTCTGGTATTTCTGCTGTAATTATGACAAAGCTTCTTGTTTTCCAACCTTTTTATTAACAGAAACTAGGAGCGTTGATATTAAATTAATTAACCAGTTAATTAATCAATTAATGATTCAGTTTCAAGAGTTGGATGCGGTTCAATAAAAACAATAATAAATAATGGGAGAAAAATATTATTTCAGTCTTAATTTGAAATGAATTGAAACTTAATTGAAATCTTAATTTCATGCATATTTTCATGTGCATTTTTATTAGTGTTAGATTGTTGCAAGATATTAATATTTGTAATAATAATTAATAAAATAAATAATAAAAATGTATGACAATTTAAATACAATTACAAATAATAAACAATATTTAATGTAAATAATTTAAAGTCATCTTGTGGCCCAGCAGAAGTTTACTGAAAATTTGTTTGCTCAAATTGGCCCCGGCCCCCCCAGTTTGGAATTTAATCAGTTGGTATTGGAATCAGGTGAAACTGAATGATCGCTAACAGAGATGCTGCGAATGCAGGGCGTTTAAAAATCAGCCATTTCAGGTTTCATTTCAGATCCTGCTAATGTGGACAGCAGCAGACATTTCACTAGGTTTTTCTGGAACAAAGTCTGTGTTTGAGCTAAGACAGTCAATTAGCAAAAGTCAAGAAGTAGCTTCTTTCTAAGCACTTCTTACTAATGATCTAAAGCTCTAAAAGCATGTATTTCCCGATTTTACTTAAGACCAAAACAAACTTCAAATTAGCCAACTCACATAAACTAAGAATGATCAAAAACATGGCAAAATGAAAGTGAAAGGATTACATTGCCAGCACTTCAGGAATGAGAAGAAGAGATTAATGCGATCTTTCTTAGAGCAGATTAATGTCAGCCTCTTTGGAAACCCCTGCTGGAGATCAATTGCTGCAGGGATGCATCACTGAGAGAGAAACAGCCGTCTGGCATTCATGTGTCAGAATGAGGGCTAATCTGAGCATGCTCAGGACTCGGCAGTGTCAGCCTGCGACATATGATGCCACAAACTCCTGTGCACTGGAGCGCTCTCTGCCACAACACAACCCACGCTGCCCTTTGATCCTGCTCCGCAGTCATTGAGCCAATTATCAGGCAGGAGAACAGAGAAAGTGGAGGGGAGGAAAGGAAAGGAAATACAAGACAAGAACCCCTGTCTAGCACAAAATAAGTTTCCCTTCCCCTATCAACCCACCGCACATATTTCCACAATTTCCACTTTTTATTTTACCAAAATACAATTGTGGTAAAATACACTGATTCTAAAAGAGTGCGAGGAGCATGAATGTAATAAATTTTTTCACTCTCAAGCAAATTATATTTCGAGGTCATTGAAATTTTTCATTTTCTTCTTTAAAAAAATGTGCAGTGATTGTACCATGGTACAGTGATGGTATCAGATGGTGATATCACACTACAGTGAAGTACAGCAAGGTACAAAAGTCTAAGACCACATTGAAAATTTGTGATGGTTTCATTTATCCCAGAAATAAATAGAATATTTGTTTATATACACATATACATATAGAGATTTATTTAATATGCACTACTGTTCAAAAGTGTGGGGTCATTAAGTGACTTTAAGAGTAAGGGTCATTAAGAGTAAAGGCTCAGGAATAATTTACATTTTAAAATATATTAAAATAGAAAATTAGAAATTAGAAAATAGAAATTTTAAATCGTAATGATATTTCAAGCACTGCTATCTTTACTGTATTTTTGGTCAAATAAATGCAGCCTTAGTGAGCATAAGAGACTGGAAACAACTGGAAAACCTTACTGACTACAAAGTTCTGAACAGTAGTGTACATATTTAATTCAAATATAAATTTTTATTAATAATTTATTATAAATAGAAATGATAATTTTTTTTGATTACATTAAATTAAATGTACACAAATCTGTGACAAATTTGAAAAGAAAAAACATTTACTTATGGTCACTGACTTTGCTGAGACTTGTATACCATGAGCCTGAATGGTTACCACTTTCTTATATCATGGTATATCAATGGTACTTCATACCATAGTGTTTTAATGGAGGCAGGTCTATATTTTGAATTTGAGTAATTTACTAGACTTAATAGAGCTACTGGGGTACTTACTGCCAGGGCCCGGCTCATCCTGCTCATCTGGGAAAAGATCGTCCAGTGTCTCCCTACTGGAATCAGAGTCCTTATCATCCTGATGAGAATGAGGTGGAAAGAAGCACAGAGTGAGACTTAATAAAGAAAATACACACAGAGATATAGGCTCTATGATAGACGTCAGGAGGAATATAAGATCGAGTCTCACTGATGGGCTGAGGTCCTGGTCATATTTCTTGAGCTGGTTCATGAACTCCAGATGTTTCTTCTCCTCCTCCAGCTGGGCCACGCTCTGCTCACTCTTCTGCAGCCGCTGCTGGGTTCCTGCCAGCTCGTCTCTCAGCCACTGGTTCTCCTGACACAGCCTACGCACCTGGAGAACAGGAAAAGCAGCCTCAGGGCATTTTCACACCAGAGCTTTTAGACTCATTTGTGGAAAGGCATAGCAACAGCGACAGCCCACTTTTTCAGCAGCCCTGCTTCAGGAAGCATTTTTCCCATAGTCATTAAAAGAAAAATCCTCAGTAAATCCTTAGCACAGAGGTGAATAACAACATTATAACTTGTGATTATAAGCCAAAAACATTAATTAAAGTTTTGAATCTTTAATGAGCAATTTAATTATTTATATATATATATATATATATATATTAGCATGAAACATGAAGCATGAAATGAATAGTATAATTGAGAGCAACAATAAAATACACAACTATTAACTACAATAAGTCATAAAAAATAAGCAAAAAATAATATACTATTGCACAATGTAAAAAAGTTTTAAAATGCTTTAGTTAAAACCTGTCAATTGGTCAACTGCAAGTTATCTTACCATATGCAGTGAAAACTTGCATTATATGTAATTTTATTGTAAAATTACAGTCAACTGTATGATTTTTGGAAGTAAAAACTATTAATTATCATATCACTTACAGTAAAAAAAAAGAAACATTCCCTACATGACATCACATATGATTCAAGCTGTTTTGTTTCTTGTTTTTTATGTATATTAAATGTACAATAAGATGTGTTTGTGTTACATTTATGTTATGTAAGCGTTTCGGAATAATTCAGCTAACTGTCGTACACGCGTATTAAGGTGAGTACAACAGTTAGCAGAACCTAGAGATTATGCTAACTGTCGTACTCGCCTTAATACGCGTGTACGACAGTTAGCAGAAGCTAACTGTCGTACACGCGTATTAAAGTGAGTAAATCATGGGGTAATTTTCATTTTTGGGTGAACTATCCCTTTAATGCATTATCTTAGTGTTGTTATTTAAGTGTGTTCCCCAGATGGTGTTTTGTCTTTTTGTGTATGACCCTGTTTTATGGACAGGCCACTTAGAATTAATTCATCTTTCTATTTCACCACCTGTATTATTATGGTGAATTGTCTCCATAGTTCAGTTTCCATAATTGATTTGGCTATTTTCCTGTTTAGCACTGTGAAGCTGCTTTGACACAATCTGTATTATATATATAAAGCACTTCAGGAGCCAAGAATTTGATTAAACAATGTGATTTTAATTTAATTTCTGAAAGAATCGACTTGAAAGAATTGAACTGATTCTTAATTCCTGAGCCTGACAGTTTGTGCTCTACTGATTCATTCTTCTGATAGACACGAGTGCCATTATGTGTATTGGGCAAAGCCAATGAGTCAAAATGAGGAGCAGACAACACTATTTTTGGCACCTTCTCTTCCTGAGTGGTTACCTATCTGAAGTGATAGACTGCCGTTAGAAGTCATGTACTCATGCTGATGAAATAAACACACCTCGACTTGGAGTCAAATAGTACAATGTGAAATACCATGTGAAAATCGTATCCAAAACAAAAACTTTTATTTTGGATGCGATTAATCGTTTGACAGCACTAGTGAAAATATATCAAATTGGAGTCAAACCAAACCCGTGTGCCTGTACGCCAATGAACCTGAGAGCATGGTTTAATTTTTGATGTGCCACAGTGCGTTTTTTGTTGTTGTTTTTTTTACCTGTGCTCGAAGCTTCTGTTTCTCTGCCTCCACTGCACTCAGGTGCCCTGACAAAGCCATCATCACCTGTGCCAATCGATAAAAGAAAGAGAGAGAAAGTAGCCATGGTGTGTTACTGTGGTTACAAGCAAATTTATTCAAAAAACAATCACCATTTCATCCCACTTTGGAAGCATTTCCACACTGCACCTGTGCTTCGCTGAGGCCCAGCTCCAGCATCTCCATAGAGCGCTGGATCATGGCGGTCTTCTCCTCAACAGCACGACCCTCCTGGCTCTGTTTGAGGCAGCGCAAGGTCCCCATCAGCCCCTCCAGGATGGCCTGATGTTCTGCACGGAGCGCCTCCAGCCCCTGCATGACCTCCCGTGTCCGACATAGCAGCTCGTCCTGGGACAGCTTCTCTTCGGGGTCCCCCTGCCCGTCCGTCTCCTTCACGCACACCACGCTCGACATGTCCTCACGCATCCTAAAGAGAGATGTACACAATACAAAAATGAGAACATTAGTCTGGGAACTGTTCCTGTTCAGATGAGTGTGTTTGTATAATTGATCAGACATGAAAAGACACTGAAGGCAATTAAATGAGTCGTCACTTCCTTGTTCTTGTGCCTTGAAACCCTTAAGGAATAACTCAAGTCACTGTAAATGTGAAGTGGCAAAGAAAACTCCGCAAAAGAATGAATTCCCTACCAACTTCCATAAAACACCATGGGAACTGGACCCAGAATGCACTGTAGAGGTTACATGACCAACAGAACCAAACATTTCCTCAAACTGAGTTTTATTTGCTTTTAATCCAGATTAAGCATCTGTCACAGAGACAAACATCTACATTGCCTTCAAGAACTTATATAACAGGACTATAGAATGGCTTGCATTTAGTAAATCTGCTTAGCTCACTTCCAAAGCTTTAAACAATGACAGTTTCACTTAACAGTATTCAAGTTGAGGCAACGGACATCAGCGAGAGCAAGATGTTAGCTCAGATTTAACCAAATTAGTTGATGGACTACATAGATAATCACATTTTCCAGAGAGTGGTGCTTGCATTGGCAAAACACATTGATGCAATGCTATGGTGCTCTAGGTGGCTGCCAGGACATTACTATGCAGTTGCCAAGACATTTTTAACATGTGCTATGTGGCTATTAAGGTGTTTTTTAGATGGTTGCTTACTGGTCCAACATTAGTGATATTCTGGTCTCTAGCTAGGCTCAGATCTCTTCTGCTTGTTTTAAAGCCTCAAGTATACTTCACTTGAGCACATTAAGCCCAAAGTATACTTCAGTTTTGATGCTCAAACTGAGTTTTATTTGCTTTTAATCCAGATTAAGCATCTGTCACAGAGACAAACATCTACATTGCCTTCAAGAACTTATATAACAGGACTATAGAATGGCTTGCATTTAGTAAATCTGCTTAGCTCACTTCCAAAGCTTTAAACAATGACAGTTTCACTTAACAGTATTCAAGTTGAGGCAACGGACATCAGCGAGAGCAAGATGTTAGCTCAGATTTAACCAAATTAGTTGATGGACTACATAGATAATCACATTTTCCAGAGAGTGGTGCTTGCATTGGCAAAACACATTGATGCAATGCTATGGTGCTCTAGGTGGCTGCCAGGACATTACTATGCAGTTGCCAAGACATTTTTAACATGTGCTATGTGGCTATTAAGGTGTTTTTTTAGATGGTTGCTTACTGGTCCAACATTAGTGATATTCTGGTCTCTAGCTAGGCTCAGATCTCTTCTGCTTGTTTTAAAGCCTCAAGTATACTTCACTTGAGCACATTAAGCCCAAAGTATACTTCAGTTTTGATGTGAATGTTTAGCGTATGCCTACAGCGAATAGAGTGGAATGTGGAAAATAAGTGTGTTCTGCACTGTTGGGCAATAGATGGACCCATCGATAGCTTTTCGACTGAATGAGCGTGTTGAGTTTAAATTTTGGAGTATCACACCGAAGCTGTGTGCCTAGGTTACAGGCACAGATCCCTTCTTCATTTGTCTATGGGTTTTTTGCTTGTTTGAAAGTATACATCACTTGAGTAAATTAAGCCAAAAGTATACTTTAGTTTTGATGTGAACACCTAGCGTATACCTACAGCTAGAGTTACACATCCACTAGTGTGCTCTGCACCACTGGCACTACATGGACCCCGCTCTGTACCTTTTCGGCTGGTTAAGCATGTGGAATTGGTGACATAGACCATCGAGAGAGAGATCACAGATTGGCAGTTCATCTAAGCGAATCGGTGTATGAAAAGAAAAAACGGAAATGACCAAAATAAGAAAACGCCCTCTAAGTCAAGAGGGTACTCACAGTTGCTTGGATTTGTGCCCACTTTTCAGTTTCCCTTTTTGAATGACAACTATAGACTACTGCCAACTTCTGGTATGGAGAGTTATTTCCACTCACACAGGTGCAGAACACACATTGGCCGTGTCTTTGCAGTTGTGTTCGAGCACAATATTTCAACTTAGACGGAGGTGATTTGAAGCAGCACCACAGTAGGCATCCATTGTCGCTAGTTCTTTAAAATCGGTTTGGTTTGTCTGGGCCTTTAACATCCACCAGTTGAAATCATAAGGGTTATCTCTAAGGAAAGTAACAGCAGACTACATAACTTGAGGAATCATTCAAAATCGTAGCACAAACAGTGCATGCTGAGTTACACATCAACGTTTAATACTTTCTGTCATAAGTATAAGCAATAGTAGTGATGCTTGCTTTCGCAAACACAACAAATATTAAATTCTAAACTAAAACTAAAAGACAAAAAGTAACTTCACTTAGAGGTGCAAAAACAATGCAAGAATTTAAAAGGCTCCTCACTCTTCCCAGCCTGACACAAGGACACAAAGCAGCTGTCTTTGTTGTTGCCAAGACACTACTCACCTGGTAAGGCATATCAGGGTTGCTAAGGCAGTGGGTGAGGCACGTTAGAGTAAGCGCACTGGGAGTTGCAAGAACCCAAAGAGCAAGAAAAGAGAACCTGAGATTGTTGCCCTTTCTAACGCAATACCTCCAGACTACAGCGAAGATGCTGGGAAAACCCATTCATTGGAAATTAACACGTCTCCACAGCTTTCTTTTCTCTTGTGAAAACAAGCGTACAATCTCCTCCCTGCCATGCTGATGTAAAGAAGAGGTGGGTCTACGTGCTGCTCCTGAGCTTCAGGCCTGTGCTGTATTCCGGTGGGAGGGGAAATGGGAAGTGAGACGGCAGAGATTCATGTGACCCATAAAGCAACTTGTTGTCTGGCATGTGACAACTACTAAGCAGGAAACACCCAATCTGCTGCAGATATTGTTCAGAACAGATCAATTGTCATTGCTCTTTTCCAACAAGGACCACCCACTCAGACCCATGAATATCTAACAATGTTAGATTTTCTTGGTAACAACATATATTAATTTATTTCTAATAATAACAAACATATTACATTTGGCTATTGTCAACAGAATTATTATTTTTTTTGTAGAAAAGGAATGCACTGATATTAATTCCAGCTGATACCAATAAATTATTTTCATGTCTTGACTGATAACCAATAAACTATAGATATTAAAATTGTAAACTATTTTGTTAAGAATATACCATGTGACCCATAAAGCAACTTGTTGTCTGGCATGTGACAACTACTGAGCAGGAAACACCCAATCTGCTGCAGATATTGTTCAGAACAGATCAATTTTCATTGCTCTTTTCCAACAAGGACCACCCACTCAGACCCTTGGTAACAACATATATTAATTTATTTCTAATAATAACAAACATATTACATTTGGCTATTGTCAACAGAATTATTATTTTTTTTGTAGAAAAGAAATGCACTGATATTAATTCCAGCTGTCTTGACTGATAACCAATAAACTATAGATATTAAAATTGTAAACTATTTTGTTAAGAATATATAGTAAATTAAGAATAAAACACAAAACTAAAATCTATTACAAGTGAATTCACATGTATAGCAGGCTTGCCGCGATAGACGGTGCTGACGGTGATACCGGTGTTAAGCCGCAACACCGGTTACGTCACTTGCCCACCACATCACTGACCCCCACCGTCGTTTTGATTGTTTTATAGTAATAAAAATCATTTAGTTCAGTAAAAGAACAGACACTACAATTAAAAACTGAACGCGGCTGCTCAATGCAGCGTGTCGAACGACAGTCGCATCACAGATCAGATTTAATTTCTCCAGTGAGGAGAGTGAGGGGTGGGTGAGAGAGTGGGGTGAGGCAGACAAGATGATCGCGGATGATTTAGTTTCGAAACTAGATGCACTAGTTGCCTGTTTGGCAATATTTTGGATTTTGAAAAGCCTGTTGACTTTTGCCGTTTATCTAAGGAGATTTTGGAAGTTTTTTTTAAACATTCTTACTTAATTGTCTCCACATTGTTTGCTGATTTTTACTTTATTTAAACTGTGTCATTTATTAATTTTATTTGACATTCGTTTTGCTAATAAACGTTTTACGTTTCTTATTTACTTGGTTATATATTATACATGTTTACTTATTTCCAGTTTTGCATACCTTTTAAACTTTATGTAAGTTACTTGTTATTTTATATTAGGCATATCTTGCCTGATAGCATGTTGTATTTTTATTTGTTTTGTTACTAAAAGTTCTATGTTTTATATATAGGCTAAAGTGAGTTTGACGTTGTATTTTGTTGTTGCATTCAAGCAATTGACGCCGAACTGCCGCTAATTCAAAAGTGAAAGTAAAATGCGCACGGCGCTTTTAAGCTATTTCAAAGCGAAGGAAAGCATGGAAAAGAGGGAAAATTCAAACTAACTAAAAACCAACAATTGCTTTACGAATTGCCGCTACTTTAAAGTGAAAGTAAAATGGGCACACCGCTTTTACAAGCTTTAAAAGTGAAGGAAAGTGAGGAAAAGAGGGAACGCCCTCACCCCCACGGTGATACCGGTATTACCGGTGTTGTCACACGTCGATTACATATTTGTCACACTTAAAAGATTCAGATCATCAAACAAATTTTAGTATTACACAAAGATAATGCAAGTAAACACAAAATGCAGTTTTAAAATGATTGTTTATTTTATTAAGGGGATAAAGCTGCCCAAACCTGCCTGGCCCTACGTGAAAAAGTAATTGCGCCCTAAATCTAATAACTGGTTGTGCCACGCTTTGCAGCAACAACTGCAATCAAGTGTTTGCGATAACTGGCAATGAGTCTTTCACATCGCTGTGGACCATCACACTACCACCAGCATGTTTGACTGTTGGTATGATGTTTTTATGAAATGCTGTGTTGGTTTTACGCCAGATGTAACTTTTGTCATCAGTCCACAGAATATTTGCCCAAAAGTCTTGGGGATAATCAAGATATTTTTGGGCAAATGAGAGACGAGCCTTTGTGTTCTTTTTGGTTAGCAGTGGCTTTTGCCTTGGAACTCTCCCATGGATGCCGTTTTTGCCCAGT